TGTGGTTCTGTATATATGGTAGTTTTCCAATGTGTTTAAATAGTACCCTTTTTTATTCGTTGCTATGCTGTCCGTAGTATTTTCTATTGTATCGTATGCGTGTCCCGTATCTAACATGTGTTCCGAGTATCCTGTATTACTGTTATTGTGTCTTGTGTCATGAATGTGTTCTTTATATCTGGTATTAAATTTCCTCCCAGTTTGTCCTATATATTCCATGGGGCAATCTAGGCATTTCATTCTATAGATACCACTTCTGTTATATTTATCTATTTGTGGTTTTGATTACAATGTGTGTTGTAAATTGTTCTTAGTTATAAATGCCATTTTTAATTTTGTGTCTCGAAATATTTTTGTAATATTTCTTGTTTCTTTTCCTATATATGTGAATGTTGCCCATTTCATGTTTGTTTTTGTCCTTCTAAATTCTCTGTAATGTTTTGGTTTCTCTTTTTATAGCTAGTTTTGTAATTATATCTGTGTTATACTTATTATTTATAAGTATGTTATTTATAGTAGCTATTTCTATATCTTTTCCTGTTCTGGTAATGGGGTAATTATTTGCTCGGTCTATAAGGTATTTAATACCAGATATTTTGTGTTCATATGGGTGACATTTCGTAAATTCCTGCTGAATGCGTTCTAGTTTGTTTGCATCAGTTGACGTAATGGAATTCCAAACTACTGAAGCGTATTCAACCTTGGATCTAACTAAAGTAAAGTATAATAATATTAACAATAATAATTTCATTAATACAAATCTAAGGTTTTATTGAAAACTGAGAACTGTAAAGTATAAATATTTCGGAATAATAATAATGATAATAATTCAATTCAGTTCGTGTTTATTTACGTGCAAACTTAACAGCACAGGGGCCAATAACAAAGTTGGCACGAGTACACAGAAATACACAAAAATTAAAGAGCAAAATAAAAAATATGACAGTCTATACAATATCAATAAATTAGTAACAATTCCAAGAAAAGAAAACAAACAAAAAAACAAATAATTTAGCCTTAACAGTCGAGAAAAATAAAATAAGTACATTTCGAATGGTTATTCCATTATGTGATGAGAAAGGACAATACACATACATACACACATAGAAGTCAATAACAATAATAACCCGATTAATTCTCATTTATTCGTGTGGCAGTTCAACATACTAATTCAATTCAATTCATGTTTATTTACGTACAACTTAACAGCACAGAGGCCAATTAAAAGGTTAGCATGAGTACATAGAATTACATAAAAATAATTAAAAAACAAATACAAAATTTGAGAGTCTACATAATGACAATAGATTAATAATAATGCCAAGAAAAATTAAAGTTAACGTTAACAGGAGAGAACAATAAAATAAGACCACGTACACACTAGTAATATTAAGAGTATCATTATCAAATATTATTAACAGTTTTAGGTTCAGTGTCATTGACACAAACTGTTCCGATTGCAAATATGTCAAGATCTTTACCCACCGCGTTGGCAGCATAGGCGCACCGAGCAGAAGGACAGTGTTTATTAGAGGGACAAACACCAAACAATGAGAAGTCCCTAAGATTGCTGGCAGGAACGCGAAGGCTAACATTTTCCAAAAGAGAAGCGCAGGATTTAAGACCACGAAAGACCTGAACAAGAAAAAGTGCATCAAGGTGATGTCTCCGTTTATGTAAAGATTGCAGACTTAATTTCTCTAAAGCATAAGCATAATTATATGAAATATGAGGGGAAAAAACGATAAAAACAGACGGACGCAAACTTCTGCTGGATGCGCTCAAGCTTATTGGCATCAGTCGAAGTGATGGAGTTCAAAACTACTGAGGCATATTCCAACTTGGACCTGACTAAAATAAAATATAGTACGTATAGACTCTCCATGGAGGAGAACCTCTAGGTAATGGAGCGAATAAGGCCTGAAAGCTTTATGCATTCAGAAAATGTGTAATTAACATATGTGTGAAAATGTAAGTTTGAATCAAAGAAAACACCCAGGTCCTTAATACTGCTGGTGCGTGTAATGATAGCATGACAAAGCTGATACTCGTAGCTCAGAAAATTTGTTTTTCTGGTGTATGATACAACACGCGTTTTAGCAATATTAATAATAATAATAATATAATTCCTTTATCTGAGTGCTTGCCAACAGCAGGTAGCCTATAACTGGCGAGTACTACAAATGTGTACAAAATTGAAAACTAAAATTGCCTTCAAGGGAAGTAGTGGATTTATTAAAAACGTCTAGAAATCATTAGCTGCTGTATGTGCGAGTAACTATGACGCACTTCGATGATGATAATGATAATAATAATAATAATTATTATTGCTATAATATCTGCAACTTGTTTACATATGCAAGCAATAAAGAATTTCTGCCCCAGTAATATTCGATCCCATTAACAATATATGCATGAGGCCAGCACACGGACCCTAATTCCATTTTGTTGTTGGCTCACAAATTTACATTACTTACATAATTTTTTGCGGGTTCTGTCCGTAACTCCTCCTTAATTTTTGCAAATAAATTGCACCCATTCTACAGCCACTTAAGTTACAATATAGTGACACAGTGTTGTTCTGAGTCTTGCTTAGTCCGAGCAGCGGACTCGCCCTGGAAACTTGGACTGAATTTCATCTTGCAGGTGCCCGGAGTGAGCCTGATGAAAATTGATTGACCTCGTGGCCTTTCCGTCTCCGGAAATTGAAAGAGAGTAAAGGCCCATGAGGAGCTGAGTCCCCAAGTGTCGTCTCGTTTCAGAGTGGAAGGGAAACAGGACATGCCAAAATTTCAATCGCTCGACATTTGCGTAACGAATTAATGTACGCAAAAAAAAACTGCATAATGAGGAGCTCCATAAATTGTACTCTTCTCCAATTATAATTAGAATGATCAAGTCACGGAGGATGAGATGGGCAGGGCATGTAGAACAAACGGGGAGAAGAATGCATATAGGATATTGTGGAGAAGCCAGATGGAAACAGACTACTAGGAAAACCAAGACGCAGATGGGTGGATAGTATTAAAATAGATCTTAGAGAGATAGGGTGGGATGGTATGGATTGGATTTATCTGGCTCAGGATAGTGACCAGTGAAGGACTCTTGTGAACACTGTAATTAACCTTCAGGTTCTATAAAATTCTGGGAAGTTCTTGAGTAGCTGCAGAATTGGCGGCTTTTCAAGGACTGAGCTCAATGAGTGAATGATTCATGTACGGACGTAAAGGTAAAATTATTTCTGTGCTTGTGACATGGGAGCAGAAAGCAAAGCGCACTAGCAACGCAACAGGAGCATTGGAATTCAAGATCCAGTTAGGTTTCACAGTTTACAGCCGACATTTTCCTCTCTTCACTCGCTATAATCCACAGAAAACAGCTATTGGTCGTTAAATAACCAGCGGTTACTGAGCTGGTCAAGAAATTGCTCGCTTTTCTAGAATACCAAGTTTCGTTTGAGGTTTTCACGCCGGATTCATATTACAGTCTTCTGGATTATGTCAGAGGCAGTGTGGTTCTCTGAAACATTAGCAACAATTTTCCATACCTAGAAGACTACAATATGACACTATAGTGCCATTTCACAAAATACAGCTCTGGACCCTATCCTAATCCATTTCAGTCTAACTCTGTTTGTCTGGAATCAATTTTAATATTATTTTATTTCGCATCAGTCTCTCTCATCCCCTTCAGTTTGATCATTTCAGTAATTCAGAATGCGAAAGGAACAGTAAATTGTTTCATTTAGTTGACCACTACCCTGTTAAATACACTGGAGAACACGAAATGAGAAGCTCTGCATCTTCTGAAACTTGACGTTCCTTCTCGAATTCTCTCTTCTAGCTCACCTACGTAATTCTGCTGGCCGACGGCCATCTGCTCACAATCTCGCTTTAATTTAAAATAACATTATACTTGTAATAACATGGTTCTACTTGGCCAGCTTCAAGCAACTGTTAACTGTTTGAAAACCGCCTCAGTGCACAAGATCTTAGTCAATATATTTCTATGCTGTTGTATATATCGTTGTTCACAATAAAATGTGTTTATTTGAGAATAAAACTCTCTCTCTCCGCTCCTCGCTAGTTTACTTTTTCGGCTTCCATGTTTGTGCCCCTTTCGTATGTCTGTTCTTACCAGCTGGGCGTACATATTCGCTGTATCGTTGATTGCACTTCCTCAGTAGAGCATCAGAACATCAGAACCATCTCCCTTAAACCGAGGATTAGGTTATCCACTTTAACTGACATCTGCTAGGAGTATGGGACCAACGAGAGTGTTTGGATTATAATCTCAGAACATGTGCAGAAATTCTCGAGGAATGTTTAATGAACATCGTTACATATTGCTTAATGTAAGCAGGGCCCGAACGCCTAATGGCAGTTTACACATACGGCATGTAGAGAGTTTATAGCGTCATCATCATCATCATCATGATCACAACGACTCCCACCACCACCTGACTAACGTCAAGGTTTGTGTCTTCAAGTCCATTGCGCTATCTCAATGAATATGCAGTATCTGTCATCCAGTGGTTGTTATTTCCTCCAATGGCTCTTCCAGCCCGTTCAGTGCCCAGGCCTCTTATTCAGTTCCGTAATCGTTTTTCACAGACGGAAGGACTCCTTGGCCGGGTGATCAGTCCGTCGCAAGGCCTCTACCTAAACACAGGAGAAACACAAACACAGAATAAACACATACACATACCAAAGAGTCATACCTTGTGTGGGATTCGAACACACTATCCCGGATTCCGCTCGAGCGAAGACAGTACATGCCTTAGAACGCGCGGCTACCGTGACCGGTTGAAACGAATATACCCACCCACAAATATTGCGTATGATTGCTAACCACACTGCGGTGAGTGTAAAGTTATGACATTTAGGAAGAAAACAGTGCAGGTTGGAGTTCGGCCATGATGACACGCTCTTTACATCCTAAAAAGTTTAAATTAGATTATAGCAGTTTAAGATGAAATGTTGATTTGTTTTTTCTTTCAGGTGATAACATCTGGCGGTGACAGCCAGGAGATCGTGACAGAGGAGGTAGAGGCCGAGCGGGTCATTCATGAAGAGGCTTTGCCTTTGGTGGTGAGTAACATGTGGTATTTGTTTGCTACTCGTACCTCAACTTTGTAGAAGACAATTTGTGTCCAGTTACAGCATGTTTCTGTATAAAGAAAACTTTGGAATAAATTCTTAATCCCATTAACTGGCAAAGTTCCTAACAGACAGCTACATTTACAGACCACTGATGTGCTAAATTCTCGATCACAGTGGCCGCGCGGTCTAAAGCATGAACTGTCTTCGCTCACTCGAGCGCTGGGAACACCGGTTCGAATCCCACTTTTGGCATAGATGTCTGCTTGTGCGTTTATTCTATGTTTGTGTTATCCTGTGTGCAAGTAGTGGCCCTGCGACGGGCTGATCACCCGTCCAAGGAGCCCTACCGTCTGTGTGAAAAAGATTACGAAACTGAAGAAGAGGGCAGGACCCAACAAAGGGCTGTAGAGCCATTGATGGATGAATGAATGAATGAGATGCTAGATTTGATAGAATATCGATAAGCACTAACCGGTGCTGGCATCCACTGGTATGCTAAGACATTTCTTGGCAACAGATTCAAGCACCTGCACCACTGCCAATTTTTGTCATCTTCATCTCTTGTTCGTAACGGCCGCCATTTCTGTTTACATACATAACAACAGACTAATAAGCGCTGGTCTTCTGTAAACTGTATAAGGATACATATACTAAGGCCTGTAACTTACCATTGCTTATATGACCGAAACGTACGAGATTATGCACAAGGGAAGTAAAAAACCTGGTCTGGCATGACTTAGTTGGTAAAGTGGTTAGTTAGTTATTTAGAGAGGGTGGGTTTCCCCATGCACCGCGACCAGTTTGATCTATTGTGCTTCCCTCTATGATATTCTACCAGTCTCTATACCCTACCGATAAATGGTGCGTACCATCAGTCCCGCCGAGCAAGCGAGTTCGGCCACTTGCTTAGCGGTGTCTATAATGCTTCCCCAATCTATCAGAGGCCTTAGAGACTATTGTTGGGCGGGAAACGTTCTGGAATTTGGCTCAGTGATCCCCTTTGGGGACATGAGGTTCTTTTACGTGCCTTAAAGTTACGACACGGGACACACAGCTTAAAGTCCCTCCCAGAGGACTTTTTCCCTGAATTTTTCCGCCCTTAAAAATTCGACGACCTCCGCCGGGTATTTGAACCCGCGTACCACGAGTCATGAGGTGGGAACGTTACCTCTATACTACGGAGGCCGCTGGTTGGTAAAGTAGCTGGCTGCGGATTGGACAGTCGGGGTTCAGATTGCTGACAGCGACACGCGCGTTCAGATTGGCTCTGAGGCCCATCTCTCGGCCTATGGAATGCGCACTGGCGATAAAGGCAACCACAGCACGAAGCTGTCCACTCCGATCCATCTTGTACTGACATTAGTTATCCGGAGTTTTCCCGCGGCTTCACCACATGGTTTCGTAGCGTGCTGCTAAGGTTTAGGTACAGGTGCGGGCACATAGTACCTGTCCCTCTGTTGTCTGCCGACGTTTGCCGGTACTATCATGACCTGTTTCAGTCTTGAAGTCGAAACATACACTGCACCGGCACACACACACACACACACACACACGCGCGCGCTGCAATATTGTAGCTAATATATACGTTTTAATACGTTCTACAGTATGCCAAATGCAATTCATGTAGTAGAGCCCTTATTAAAAGGCTCGGCTTCATAAGAAATTTCCCGCCATATGGAACCCCGACAGTTCACAAGAGCCCGCCACCGGATCCCATCCACACACTCACATCCCATTCCTTTAAGATTAATTTTGATACCATCTTTCTATCTGTACCGAGGTCTTTCAATTTTTCTCTTTCCCTCAGGTTTTCCCACCACAGTTATGCACGGATTTCTCGTTTGTGTTACATGCCCCGCCCTTCTCATCGTCCTTGCAATGATCGCCCTAATAATGTTTGATGAAAAGTACAAAGCATGAATCACCTTATTGTGAAATACTATCCCATCTCCTGTTACTTCTTTCCTCATGTCGAAGTGTCGTCCTCGGCTTCCCTTTATAAAGCACTACCAATTAAAGTACTTCCCTTAGCAGGGTCTGAGAGCTAGACCTGAGAGCTAATAAGAAAAATATACATAACAAATTGTATCAAACACATACAAGCGTGGAACCAGGATAGATAGAGCCCTAGAAATTTATGTCACGAAACCAAACTAATAACCATGTCCATGACCCCACGGCATGGAATAGAAAGGAGAACTAGTAAAAACTAATAGTGTCTAACTAGCGTCAACAATGGAGTAAATCACGTCTATCTAATTTAGAACCTAATAGAAAACAATAAAAACATACATCACGTCATTCAGATCTTCTATGTGAATTGGTGACTTCATTGCTGATAATGGGGATCCAAATGCGAGAAAAGTCCAAACTGGGTTGGCTAATTGGGTTGGCCTAGCATGCCATATGGGCCGCTTCCTTGTATTTCCTATACATAATGTGGCTTTCAATATCCAAAATCTTAGCTTCATCCCAGCCTACCCTATGCCCTTCTTCATAGGCATGTTGAGCTAGTTCAGATTTTTCTATAAGACCTTCTTTGAGGTTATGTCTATGTTCCCGTAGCCGCACGGCCAGAGGTCTGCCTGTTTCGCCAATGTAGCTTCTGCCACATTCACAGGGAATGCTATAGACGCACTGTGCCGTCTGTTGCGGATCTCTTTTCGGTCTAGTTTTCATAAGGGAGTTCGTAAGTGTGTGTTTCGTACGGAAGATGGTCCTAATATTATATCGATTACCTATCCGTTTAAATTTTTCAGAAACACCCTGCACATATGGAATATATACAGAACACAGAGGGTTTTCCTCTTTCTTCGGACGACTACTGCCCTTGGAATTAATGACCGAGTCAATGAAGCCTTTGGGATAACCGTTCAACTGAAGATCGTGTCTCAGGTTGTTAATTTCTTTGACCAAATCTCTTCGATCTTGGCATATGGTGGAGGCTCTGTCGTGGAGACTTTTAATGAAGCCTCTTTTCACACGTGGCGGATGGTTAGATTTGAAGTTGAAGTATTGGACAGTGTGGGTGGGTTTCCTGTAGACTTGTGTGACTAGTGCCGTCTCTTCCCTGATGACCAGAACGTCCAGAAAAGAGATCGCATTGTCTGACTGTTTCCATAGTAAAGCAGATGGAAGGCCTTAAACTGTTGAGGTGGTCGAAGAAATTCTGTAATCTCTCTGGACCATGAGGCCAGACTACAAAAATGTCATCCACGTATCGCAGCCACAACGATGGTTTGTACGGTGCAGAGTCAAGAGCTAGTTTCACAAAATGCTCCATGAAGATGTTGCTAACGACGGGCGAGAGACAATTTCCCATAGTCATGCCATCCTATAGTAACCAAATGTAATTTACTTTTCATATTCCAGGTGTGACCGCCTCTGCGGTCTAGTGGTCAGAGTTCCTGACTACAAATCCAGAGGCCCGGTTTCGATTCCCGGCGCTACAAGATTTTAAGGGAAGTTGTGGGTCTGGAACGGGGTCCACTCAGCATCGTGAGGATAATTGAGGAGCTATTTCAAGGAAATAGCGGCTCCAGTCTAGAAAACCGAAATTAACGGCCGGGGGGATTCGTTGCGTTGACCACACGACACCCTCTATCCGCTAAAGCTGGCACTACCTTCGCCGACAGGCGGCGATTGCTCGATCGGCATAGTTCTCTTGCGGACTGAAACTACGGAGTCTGCTTTTTTTTTTATATTCCAGGTGTTGCTTAAGTGCGGGGAACAAATGAAGCAACATAATTTGGGGAGGGGTGGCAGAAATTAACAAAAACGAATAGGAGCGAAGGGACCGTTGAAAGAACAGGACACTGACTGCTGTAAGCATGAAATCATCCTCATCCTTCAGTATGATAAATGTCTCCGCTGGATCTATGTAGAAAATTAGTTTGCATGTGGTATAATGACGTATAATCCACATCGAAAAAATGACGCATTACGTATACGGAATATATCTTGCAGACTCAACTTCCCTCTTTCTCTTCATATTTAATATTTGACTTGGGTATCTTAACAGACGTTAATTACTTCGCAACGACTATCAAGCACTAATGATGGTCCAATGTACGAAGTTTTCAATGCTGTCATGTTGGCAACAGAAACAAGGAACAGCTTATCAAAAATGCTCGACAGTGATTGCCTCAATAAAGTACTTACAGTTTACATAAATACGCCCTTCTTATCAACTCTGATAAGTGGACCTACAGATCGATTTGTCTTGATTAGTAACTCTGATCGACAGCTTAGCGTGAATTTCTTCGTAAGTCATTTAGGCCGCAAATTTAAAGCTATTTTTTTTCTTTGTAAGAAGTGCATGTGAAGAACGCATAATTTGGAGGCCGCAAGTCTTCCCGTCAGTCCACATATTTTATTCCCGAAATTTCAGGACGGATTTCGGTGTTCCCCTGCGGAGGCGAGGTCGAATACTTCCACCGTAGCCCTGCGAGTTGTACGAGGCGACGAAAAGGGAAGCCTCGAATCTGAGACAGTAAAATGGAGAATGACTGTGCTGGCGAGGACCATCAGGAGTTGTGAAAAACAGGCCCGTCCTCTAGTCAGAGAGAGCGCCCCACATCAACAAACCCGCAACTGACAGCAATAAAAGTCTGATCGTAAGCCCCGGATGGGTGCTTTGTTCCAAGATAAACTGGCCGACTGACCGTCGGTCGTAACATAGACTCAGACAGGCTCAGGATTTCGATCAAATTCTATGCGTTAATTTAATTCGCTGGTTTTTAATTCTGTGCGTACTGATTAATAACTCTGTCTTCACACGAGCTTCAAATTGAATTTCATCAGATTTCTCATAAAAGGTTCATAATAAGAAATATTAGTAGGCTTATACGGCATAAACAGTGCATGTAATTAATAATTTCTTATTTTGTGACGTGTGTTACTTGTAGTGTGATCAGTTTTGCAGGAGTAAATTCGTATTTGCAGTAGATCAGGCATGTCCGACGCGTCGATCGCGGGACGATTTTTGG